CTAATGAGAGAGAGAGGGAGGCTGACCCTCTCGTACATGCGAGGAGGCACCGGAGGATGGGACGGCAACGCAGAACATTCGTACAGACGTCGTCCTAGTGGAGGTCTGCGGGCTATTGATTGGGTGCCAGTAGCCCGCGTTGTATAGGCCCCTGCGACGATGGGGTGTCTGTCGTGGTGGAACGCGAATGCCCCATGCCTCTGGCACGGAGATGAGCCCGCGCAGACTACTATGCCGTATGCGGGCACCGTTCAGTGTTTAGTGGAGTATTCCCGGCTATCTCTTTAGCTGGGAGAGTACCACACACCCCCGCTCACTACGGATCCCTAAATCGAAAAATAGTCTTAGGAACCCCGAAGTGATTTTAAAGAACCTATACCTACCGACTCGTACATAAGCGAACCCCACCATCTCTCGCGTCTAAGTTATTGTTGGCTGCGCCGGCGGCGGGTAGGCAGCGTGCCGTCCACGAGTTGCAACTTATTGTACCATATATACATAAAACTGCTACCTTTAGAGACTCTTTTCGATTTGCGGGCAGTAAGTGCTGGAATGATATACCACCACCCCTAAGACTGATCTCTGAATATTCTATCTATCTGCTGAATATTCAAAGTCAGTTTGAAAATATTGTCTGTCCCTATGTGAGCAAAGTTAAATACGCTAAACTCGCATTATAATTAGTGGGTAGTGTGAGTCATTAATTGTAAATGTGCTAAATTAAATTATTTACCTGGATTATATTTTATTGTGTATAAGAATTATATTATCTAAATTGTAATTGAGTGTCTAGTAAAAAAACTACATTTTAAATATTACTTAACATTGAATTGACTAAGCTTTGAATGACAACTAACTAAATAAATTGACAATGTAATTAATATATTTAACATTTAATTGGCTATTAATAATTAAATTGACATTAATATAACTAACCACAAAAATTTGACGATGGGTAGGCATAACACCAGCTGCGCTGTGCCTATTCCTATTCATATTTATTAGTTAAATTAATAAGATTCTCCGTCGTGGTACAAAGGGTGTACCCTTTGGGTATGGAACCCCAAAAAAAGTTGGTCTCCGATCGTACAATGCTGAAGCCAGCAATTCTTCGCAACTCTTTAAATCTCACGAAATCACCAAAGAAGTTTTAAACAATTCTTGGTCTAGAAAGAATTCACAAGAAGGTACACTAGCCTGCAAAAATAAGTATCATAGGGATATTTTTATTTCTTAGCTGTAGAAGTTACAAATTTAAAATAAAAAAACGTTTTATAGCTAATTTTAACCGCATTCTTCGATACTGCATTATAAAATAAAGCTGTTTTTGAATGCTTTTTATTTCGAAAGTATATCTTGTGTACTTAAAAAGTCATTGCAATTTTAAAAGCTAAAGTTTTTTTAAGTTTTACTTAGTTTTGCAGGCCAATGTAGTATCTGCCTTGTTGTCTCTAATTCGAAGCACCACATTCACAGGGAGTCATTGAGTTAAAAACATGGTTTAAAAGTTGAATTAACGTGTTGATAAATGTCGTGCATCGAATTAGAGACAGATGTAGTCACATAAAACGAACTTGTTGTCACCAAAGTTCCAATCGCTTAACCTTGTATACATAGTCATGACCTTACCCTAAAGATAATATTATCAGTCGAGTGTAAGTGCGCCAAAGTAAACACTGACATTTAAAATAAACATTTAAATAATATTTTACAATGATACGCGAGCCTATAGATACTTTTTCGTCTTCCGCTTCATTCATAAATTATGTCTCATTTATCTTTAAATTTTAACAACGACTTCATGAAGCTTTAAGTTAGAAGTATTCTTTGTTGTCACCTTTGTTCGCTAAGGAGAAAATGCGACTGCAACATTGAGGTGCCTTTTTTAGGAGCTTATTAATTTTGCTTTGCTCTTAAAAATAGATCCACTTTATTATAAGCACGGTAGCTATAAGAAAAATCCAATTTTGTAATTAATTTGAATGTCAATAAGGTGTGTAAGTAATTATTGTTTTTTATCTAATCAACATGAATTGTTCAAATGAGTTAAATATAACAAGCTGATAAAAAATTACCAGTACTACAAACCAATAGTTACATAAATATTTATATCTATGAGATATTTAAGATTGTAAAAACTGAAATCGGTAGTCACCTGTTTTGAACGATATTACAAAAAAAAACTGTGTGCCATTAACAATCCGATAATATGACAATCAACATACAAAACTTGCTTAAGATTCATTAGTTCGTTAAAGGTCTTAGCGCACCTGAACCACCCTGGACCAGCACCGCCTGGGCGCGCGCCCATCCTCTCGTGGACGCCGCGCTATCAATTAGTACCCTTAGCACGAACCAATATCGCATTCGTAACGTTTGCGAGGCCGAAATGTCATTGACAAATACGTACTGATTTTTAGTTCTCGTTACGTCCGTTCTGGCACTGCTGTTCAAGTTTCCATACAAAGTTTGGCATTAACATTTCGCACTGGCAAACTATTCGAATTCGATATTGGTTCGAGCTAAGGGTACAGCTTTCGGGGTGGACCACGGCACTAAGCAAGTAATCTATAAGAATTGGCACCTCCGTACTAGCCTTTGTCACGAATTAAATGAGCCTTTTATACCAATCATAATAAAAGAATATACAAACAACTAAAAAAGTCTTTAAATTTCAAAATAGTGTGGAACCTGACCAGATATCGATAAAAATAGTGGTGTGTACCTACCAAATATCGATAAAAAATAATGCCTCGTGGTAAGGTAGGATCCCCACAGAAATTCATACAAAGCATATCAAATCAACCAAACGCGCCGAGTCGGGGTGCTGGTCGGGTACCGGATGGTTCAGGTGCGCTATGGTACCTTAAATCTAATAACAATCTTAGACCGTTATCGTCCATTATGACGTATGAAGGCGCAGCGGATGGTGACCGGGGTAGGCGCAAATAAAAAAAAATATCGTAGTAGCACGAGCACTACAATTAACATTATATCACGTTTTATATCCCGTCTAACTGTCAGACTCCATAGTAATTTAAAACTTGAGCGTGATAATAACGCGCTACATATCTTATCGCAGTCCTCATACTAGGGGGGCAGGTCTATTGTCTTAAAGCTCCTTAGGATTAAGACATTAGGAATTCAGAACGCATCAAAATAAAAGAACTTTACTAGCGTGTGGGGACAAGGCCGTTTTAAAAGCCAAATTTATGAAAAAAATATTGCAATTTCATTAAATGTACGAAGATAGTAGGTGGTAATAAAGCTTATATACCTATATAATTAAATTTCTTTAATGTGAAACATAATTATACAGGTATATAATAGATACTTTAGGAATCACATTAAATTTTCATTTATTTAATGGGATTCCTAAAGTATCTTTCCATTATTTTTTTTCAGTGAAATAAACACCCCTCTTAGGTTTAACAATTTAATTTTTAGTCAAACAGACGTATAACTTTCAATTTAAAGTTGAACCTATCTTGAATAGATTTTTTAAATATTCTGAGTATAAACTCTCTATAGTATTAGAGAGACTATACTACTAATTCGAATAATCATAAATATTATTCGACAAACAAATATAGAAATACTTTACTTACCAGTAGTCCAACAAGTCAACAACCAGGTATCTACTTATCGCGTAGTTTTATTTGATTACATCTGAGAATCACTTGATAATTATATTATTAATTAAGCACAACTAACTTCACGAATAAAAAAATTGCACTTAACCTTAAAAGAAGATACACAGAAAATGCTTAACATCACAATATTTTCTTTGTTGTATTTATTTATGAACACTTTTTTATTGTTGATGTGAAAATGTGCAGACACCTTGATATCTTATGAATTAATTCGTAAATAAACTCAATTGACAGCCTTCTGTTCACATTAGTTACCATGGTTACCAATGGGACGCTATACGTTTCCATAGAACTCTACCGATGCCACACGCCGCGCCGGACGTTAAATTTTACTGCTGTATTAATGTTTCATTAAATAATTGACCTATTTCTGTTACGCAATCTTTAGTTCTCCGACGGAAGTAAATATAGAAAGCCTACTAAAGACCCGATGTAGGCCACGATAATAAACAAAGCTAACTTATAAAAGGCCTCAAAGCTTTATTTTTTCTAATACGCCACAGTCATGGGTGCTCCGTGGCCACAGTTCACGTTACTGTCAATATTCTCCAAACGACTTTAAGGTTAAGACGCCTCATATTAGATTCACAATCTATTGAGAAATTGTGGAATTTGACAGTTTGTGGAAACTTGATGTGTGGCTGTCTGTACATAGATTTCGATTCATTTTTATGTATGTCCTCTAGAGTTATTTATTTCCTATGTTTACACACATACCACTTATTAAGTAAAACACTGTTTCAACACAGGTTTAGATGCGTTTTCACTACTTTTATACATTTTTCTACGTTTTGATTCCTATATAGGCTCCGTTCTCAAGAGAAAGACAGATTCTTTCTCTTGAAAAAAATATGCATCTGGAGTCCTTAGGTAAGTTATACTTAAACTTTTAAAAATACTACAGGCTATGTCTCAAACTATATATACCAAATTTCATCTAAATCATGTCAGTGGTTTATGCTTGAAGAAGTAACAGAGAGACAGCCAGCAGTCACATTTTCGCATTTATAATTCGAGTGTTGAAATTTTGAATATTTTTATTGTCTGAAAGGACAAAGTTGTTCCGTGATTTTCACTGACATAAATCAATAGCTTTCTTCCATATATTTTTATATACCTACTAACATAATAAAGAATAATTACTTCTTCTAGTATTTATGTACTTATTTCTTGTAGAACACATTCTACACATTTTTCTTGTAGAATATTCAACAATGGTACTATGATATCGAAAATATAATTTATTAAATATTTGAATATCACCTACAGCATAGATACATCAACCTACAGCATGGTAACGAAGCCATCTTTGCCATATAGAAAAACTACTAATAAACATTGTATACAATTTAATTATTTTTTTTGTCACATTTGTTATTGACACTGTTCTTGGATCCGCGTTGGCATGGTATCAGGTGCTGGTTTGGCGGCATCGGCCGGTCTTCACCGAACCTCGATTGCAAGTTGAGTTGGACACAGTCTACTTCTAAAGTCGTTGCATTCACACCAACAGCGGCGACGACAGGATATAGATGTGCACAAGCCGTGATCGAACCGAACCGTTCGCATCTCCCATTGAAAATGACGTAAGTGTCCACTCCGCACGGGTTCTTCACACAAACCGGAATAACCGAGTCCTTCGGCAGTGTGATGTATTCATCGGATGCACAAGGGCCACGTTGGTATGCTGACCAGCACGAATCTGACCCCGGATGATACAGGAAAGCTGTAAACAAATGAAATGATGAGATCAGTATTTCAACAAGCATTAAAAACTGTACCTTAAGATATTTGTTTCTTAGGTTTTCACGCACATCACTCATTATATAAAACTAGTTTTTGAACATGCATTAGGGGGACCAAACCACTACATTAGATTTGATAGACCACAGATCCTTGCAGCTGAGCGACGGTTCGTTCCTCGAATGATGCGCGAGGCTATTGAGATTAAAAAATATCCAAATTTCAATAGGGAAGATGGTTGGTATATACCACCAGCTTGGGAACCTATTATACAGGAGATAAAATCCCAACCCCGAGCACACACTGCAAGACCATCAGATACTATTAGTTCTTTTTGTTTGCATAATTTAACATAAGAAGGAGATAGAAAGCCTCTCTTGAGTTTGTTTCGCCGGTTCTTCTCAGAAAGGTCTCCCAATTTTGGAACCGGTGGTAGTTTACGGTAGTTAGGGTCAAATAAATAAACTCAAAATTACAAGAATTTGAAATAAAATACTTAATTAAGTAAATTAAATAATAAATTCATACATAGACAATAAAACTTAAAAATCGAACAATGAAATAACCAAACGCTCAATAAAAGTCTTTCGAAGGTAGCTCGACAAATTGAATAAAAGTTTTATTCTGACGACGTAGCCTGTAAAGGCTACGAAACGTCAATAAATAAATAAAATTTCGTGCATTAACCCGTAAAAACTAGTTTTATGTACCTTAAGATTATTTTCTTACCGGTCAATAAGCTAACCCCCTCAGCCGTTATCGAAACAATTTTTCAAAACTACTTTCGAGAAGGACTGTCTCCCTTAAACTCTTTCCGCAATCCTGAACTCAAGGGAAAGAGATAACATAAGTTACATTTTTCTCTAGCATTAGGGAAAAATTTACGTATAGACGGACGCGTTGTTTGAAACATAGTTAATAATGTTAATAGACGACCTCCGTGGCCGAGTAGTTTGTCCGCCGGGTTTCATGGTGTCGCCGACTCGAGAGGTCCCCGGTTCGAATCCCGGTGAGGGCAGATGTTTGTGTGATGAATGAGAGCATTTGTACTCCAGTCATGGATGTTTAATATGTATTTCTATATAAATATACTTATATATGTATTCTATCCGTTACCCTAGTATCCCATAACACAAGCCTTACAGTGCTTACTTTGGGGCTAGCCTAATAAGTGTATGTCGGAAATATTTATTTATTTATTATCACGTCAAATGCATAGTAACTGTGTCAAATTTGACAAATGGGTCGACCTGAAATTGACTAATTCAACTGTTTGAACAATTCTATAGATAACGGGTCAGCGCGTAAAATCCGTCTTGGTAAATATAGCCATACTCGAGGCGTGAGATCTTATTATAAATTAGTTCAGTTAATACAAAACGAAGTAACTCGCTGGCCAATGACTGGTAAATATATTTTATTTTGTGGGTCATAAGGTTGAATTCATATTTTCCTTTTTTCACCTTTATCGTTTTTTCAGATATAAAAAAGGAACAAGAGTTCGTTTTATAAGATAAAAGGTCGTATTTGCGAAATAATATTTTGTTATTTGTAATCTTATTCCTGTGTGAGATAGTTGTTATTAGGTTCAACTGTTTTAAAAGATTTCCTTCATTTAAGATTTCCTTCAGGTTTGTCGATCAGTCGATAAAAGCCTTGCAAATCATCACGTCTTTAAAGTGCGATGACGAATGAATGACTATTCTAACCCATCAAAAGACAGCACACTACTTATAAAGTCATCTTTTATTTTTACAGTTAGATACCGATAACCTCTTACATAATTAGATTTTTTCCTTTTTCATTTAAATGATAGGTAAGCTATAATATATAAGGTACCTAGTTGCTTCAGTTATCAATGTATGCTATGGACTGAAAATGACTAAATACACAGTCAATAGTCTACCTTTAATGATTACGTAGACTGCCTGAAAACTAGAATGGATTATGGCGAAAAATACTTTGTAAATATCGTTTAAACCCTTGGGCAAAACAGCTGGACACTTTGAATTTTTTCTCTGTCTATAAATGAATATTTAATAAAGAGAATATCTCAACGAAATATAACATGGTATTCTAATTACCCTGCCGTATAAATGAATTAATTTCTACTCATTTTTTCCCCATCCTTACCTTTTATGGCCTAGCCAAATCCCGCATCGGCTTCGGGTATAGGTAACTAAATATAATACCCAATCTTGCCTATATAAGAATATTTTTACTGACCTGGCCTGCAATCACAAATCCAGTCGTCTTTCTGGTCACCAGGATAATAAAGTTCGTTAGGAGGACACGTTGCAGGCATGAAGACCGGCTGCCGATCCTGTTATAATAAATACTTTAAACCACCGCCTCATAAATGAAGAGCTGGCGAACAAAACGGTATAATTACGCATCTGGTCAAACTACATTTTTTTTACAGTCCGGAGGTTTCGAGCCCGTTGAATTTGAATTTTAAATCAAAACCGCCTAAAACAGTGTTAAAATTACTAAATTTATAAATTAAAAACCATGTCAAAAGCTCACTGTGTCATTCACTTTTATACAGCTCCTGTAAAATTTAATTTTATACCCTTTTGTTCACCAGCTCCTCTATGTAAATTATTGTGAGAGCATTCTTAAAAGTTTTTTTTTGTTTTACTTGTATTCGTAATGGGGTTTCATGTGATTTTGTTACAAGTAGGCAAGTACTAACTTAATTTGTTTTAATGGTCGTGAATTATAGCATCAGCATTCAACAATGAGTAACGCGATATGGTATCTAACGCATTTTTATCACGCTCAAATGTCAAATTACTATGAAGTTTGACAGTTAAACGCGATAAAAACGTGATACATTGTAAATTGTGGTGCTCATGCTACAGGGACAGGACCTATTTTGAACGATTTTAATAATAGTTATAGCATCCTAAATTCCCGATGGACGTCGGGGTATAACAAACTAAAATCTGAGACAATTATCCGTCATTTCTAATACTATGTAAAAACAAAACTAATATGGATAAAATAGAAAAATGGTCTAATATAACTTCGTGCTTGTAACTAACACCGCGTTTATTCATCCATAGTTAAATTTGACTATTGTTCAAGTGACATCAATTACAAAGTAAATGTTTAAAATTTCATAGATGGTTATTTTTTGTCTTGTAAAATAGGGATCATGATGATCATTACTAACTTTTTTTTCATCGATCAGACAGATTATAATCTGAAAAAAAAAACAGAAAAAATATGTTTAGAATACTTTTCGATAATTATCGAAAAGTATTGGAAACGTATTTTTTCTTTTTCTTTCATTATATAACAATGCGGCCTAAGTATAATGCTAGCATAATTGTATTTTAATATAAACTATAATTTTAGTTTTTGGGCTGAAAATATATAAATGTTTAAACATTCAGTAACAAAATTCAAAAAATTCAAAATTCAATATCGTTTATTCAGTCTAGGCTGTTACAAGCACTTGTGAATGTCGAAAAGCTACGCCATCGGTTCGCAAATCTACGGCGGGAGACCTTGTACTGAGAAGAACCGGCAAGAAACTCAGCAAGGGCTGTTTTTTTCTCCCTGTATTATATACAGAGTCGTCAAATTGAAAAATGACTTCAATATGAGGTAACTCATAAAGTCACTTTTCATTACAAACAAAAAAAAATGCAAATAATATAAAAATTATGACTATAAAATAAAAAATTAAAATGTGTAAAAAAAAATGGTTTAACAAAGTTTAGGAATGACGTGTCCTACCGCTTAGGCAAAAAGAAAATAATAATAATGAACGATTAAAGTTTAGAACAACGATTAATAGTAGTACCCAGTGAATTAAGAGCAGACTCATCTCCGCTGGCAGCACCCGTTCACGAGCATGACGCATGAACCAGCCATCGCTTCGCTCAACCATTTTTTAGGGAACGCAGCGACCCGCCTCACACGACACCACCGAAGAGATTTTTAAGAGAGCATGACTACTCATAACCACACATGGATACTATGTTACTAAAATAGAAAAAAAAATACATATAGGTACCAGTGTACATTATTATAACAAACTATAAACACAACGGCAGGACACATGCATGTGATTACCTAAACACTGTTGTCGACCCTGGCAATACTCTTCCAACCCAAAACCAATCAAACATCAGTCCCCCCCTTTCAGTCTGTATAGAGAATGACAAGGATACACCACTGCAAAACCAAGTTCAGGTCTAGAAAAACATACCAGAATCCACACCGCCATTAAATCTTTATCAGAGAAATAATATATGTTCACTTACATTTTGATTGCTGTGTCACACAGTATAAATACAAGTTGTGTAATGTAAAATACAATCAAAAATTAATAATAATTATCATTACAATAATAAAGTAGTATAGAGCAGACTCATCTCCGCTGGCAGCACCCGTTCACGAGTATGACGCATGAACCAGCCATCGCTTCGCTCAACCATATTTTAGGGAACGCAACGACCCGCCTCACACGACACCGCCGAAGAGATTTTTAAGAGAGCATGACTACCCATAACCACTAAAACCAATCTGCAAAATGGTTACTTAGAGTTAAGGTAATTTATCTGTACGACACTGCAAACAAATACAAAACAATTTTGCAGTTACAGCCATGCAGTTTTGTCATTCAAGTATTCTTTAATAGTATAATAGCCTTTCTTAACTAAACAACTTTTAATGTGACATTTGAACTCATTTATGGGTAACTCAAGAACAGCATCAGGAATTTTATTGTAAAAATGTATACCTTGACCCATAAAAGATCGGTAAAGCTTCTGTAACCTGTAGGCTGGCAATGCAAGCTTGTTTCTATTCCTAGTATTAAAATTGTGTACGTTACTGTGTTTGGTATACAAATTGATATTATTTTTACAACAAATTATCTTATTACTGTAGAGTAACCGCATTCTTCTACATCGTGTACTTTAAGAAGAGTTAAGGAAAATACAGATCGATACGGGAGCGAAATTATTGTATACTACGTACAGTTTTTTACAACTACATAATAAAAAGCGTGATGCAGCATAGTATAAAAAAGCGGCCAAGTGCGAGTCGAACTCGCCCATGAGGAGTTTCGTAGCAGAAAGTAACATAGTATAAAAGTTCTTGTTTGAGTTAGAAAATAATGGTTCACGGTTTATGCATGGCAGGGCTTGTTTTTAGCTAGTTTATAACTTAATATAAAACCTGCTCCCCGCGCGCTCTGCACGCGCTACCGATCCAGCCACGCCCCGCACGAATAATAATTACAGATTTATTATTAGAAAATAAGGGTGAAGCCAATCGAGCGTAATTTTGTGAGTTGTGAGTCGCTTATTTTCGGTCACTTATTTTACGTTCAACTGAATTGAACAACTCATTTTGTGTTGTCGTGTGGCACCAACTGCCTTTTTGTATGAAACCGAATGCAGCAGAATTTCTGCGACCGAAATTCTGCGACTCACCACTCACAAAATTACGCTCGTTTGGCCTCACCCTAATCATTGGCATAACGTTTATGTTAGAAATTCAATGTTTATTTTTTATTTTTATATTTGAGTTGATTGAATGAAATGTAAATTGTTCTTTACGATTTACGGCGTTATAAAAAAACTACTTACTAGATCTCGTTCAAACCAATTTTCGGTGGAAGATTGCATGGTAATGTACATCATACATTATTTTTAGTTTTAATCATTCTCTTATTTTAGAAGTTACAGGTGGGGGGGGGATCATTTTACCACTTTGGAAGTGAAGTATATTAGAAACCTCAATATCATTTTTAAAGACCTATCCATAGATAGCCCACACGTATGGGTTTGATGAAAAAATTTTTTTTGAGTTTCATTTATAAATATGGTAACCCCCAAAATTTATTGTTTTTTTTCTATTTTTTGTGTCAAAATCTTAATGCGGTTTACAGAATACATCTACTTACCAAGTTGCAACAGTATAGTTTTTATAGTGTCATATCATATCATATCATAGTCCGTATGTCATATACATACGGACGGACCGACAGAGAGACAGACATCACGAATCCATACGGGTTCCTTTTTTGCCATTTGACTACGGAACCCTAAAAAACACGTGAAGATTTAAATCGTGTTTTTACTCCCTGCAGCCTCTACAGACTGTGATTCGTCCTTCTCAAACAATAGGTCGTAATCAATTGTTGAGTAAATTGCTGTTTTGAGTTACATACTAACAAAAATAGCAAGGCACGATTCTTGATTTTTTACGTTTCTTTGTGTACTAACGCGTAGCGGATCCGTAAAATAGACCTTTGTATAATTAACGTATACTGTAAATCAGCTCTTTCGGACTTCACGTTAAGGTACTAATTAAGCTTAAATGGTATTTAGTTTATCAGTCAAAAATCATACAAAATTTAGTTAAATTTATTTGGTATTAAATTTTTTTAATCAAGTGAAAAAGCCTTTTAACTCCATTTTCGTAACAAAAATTTGCCGAATCATTAAGTCTATAATCAAACAATGTTCTTATTATTAAATGTGATTATGTTATTTAATGTTATTAATAAGATGTTCACCAGTAGGTACAATAGATATCACTAAGTCATGTAATAAGAAAAAATAAAGTAAATAAACATGACAGATCTTGTTGACACTGAACCACGAGTTGCTTAGAGCCCGTTGTGTGATAGATAATTAAATGTGACTATTAGTCAAAGTCACGTCAAAATAACATGTATTAAATTTTGACAAATGATAAGGTTGCTTTAACTAACGTATTTTACAATAGTCAATAACCATATTTATCACAGCAAAACTAAGGGAGCAAAAACACGATTAAAATCTTCATGTTTTTTTTATTCTATCCTGTATCATGCATTTTGTTTACATAGGTAATTGTAAGAACTGTATCAAATAATTCCGCTCCCGTATCTATCTGTATTTACGTTAACTCCTCTTAAACTACATAATGTTGTGGAAGGCGGATATTTTACATTAACTAGATAATTTCTCACTGAATGTTTAAACATTTTATATATTCGCAGCCTAAATAATAACGGCAGCTCACTAGATTCGTTAATAATAAATAAATTAACGTATACGTTAACGTTTTAAAACAAAAAAGACTTAAGTTACGTGTTGTTTTTGTTGTATTGTTCTCCGAAATAGGTAGGTAATTAGTGCTAATAACAACTCAAATCAAACTTAATAAATTATTCCCCTAACTGTGACCGTAAGAAGATAAAATATCAAACTCTAGTTAAGAATTAGTACAATAAAAACGGGTTGGATGACAAAAAAAAACCAACTCACGTCTTTATTTTTTAAACTCTCATTTTCCTCGATCTCAGGAAATCCAATCGAATTCTGTGTAGCGTTATTATTATCTGTTAATATTTCACCGATCATTAAAATCAAACACAAAACACTTATAATGCATTTCATTTTGTCTTTTTTTCACTTAAAATTTAATCAATAGTACCCTTACACTTCACACACGAAATTTTTGTTATTTTAGTTTAATGACTAGAAATATTTATCGACACATTTACTACGACTGTATAAATAGAGATCTTGAGACGAACTACTGTGCTTCCTCCTCGATTAAGTGTAAATGACTATGGCCGGACGTCATCTACACAATTCGAAACAAGTTTTGATAAAAAAAAACCTCAGTGTGGGTAAACTGTGCGTTTTTCCTATAACATATTAAATTTTAGTGCTAAGACCGTTCAACTTCGATGCCCCAAAGAATTATGTTTATAACTTCTTCGAACTACTTATTCTAACTTGTCTTTACACAAATGAGTTATCTCCAGAAATGGGAAATACCCAATTTTATAATTCAATATTCGAAGTATAGGTAAGCAAAAGATAGATAAGTAATAAATAGTAGATTGTTAACCGAGGGTGGAAAGAATTAATTCCCGAGGTATTTAGACGCCCGAGCGCAGCGAGGGCGGCTATAGTCCGAGTAGGAATTGATTCTTTTCCCCGAGTTAAACACTGTACTTTTCATTTCGAATATGAGGAAAATAAAACTAGTTGTTTATCAAAAATATTTATTCATAAAGTGGTATATATATAGGGTAAATGTTTATGCTGTTTGATATACTATTCCATGGCGGATACTCCCTGGAAGTTTGAAGAAGAAGTGAAGAAGACAGTCCATTAAAATATGTAAGAAATACACTTTCGGAAAACGATTTTATATTCTTCTCTGCTCGCCACTTTATAAAATCATTGTATGTATTCATATATCCTCTTTTGACATTTCTGGCAAAAGATTCTCTATAACACAATTTGCCTCGTCTTTAATTGAATCCGGTGTCAACATTTCTGAATCACTTAAACTCATTTTTAATAATCAAATTTAGATTGCTCTGTTTTACTTATAAGATTTTTTTTTATTCCACCACAGATACATAACAGTTTAGTATCCCGCCAATTTATGTCGACTTTTTAAATTTAAATATGGAACAGCGTAATTGTTGCGGCTTATTCTGCTCAAAGAAGTTTGTGCTAAGTTCACACTGGCTGTTTAGAAACTCACATGGCATCATATTTTTTTTTTACATAAAACTCTTCACACCTGACAGTAGTTCTATTTTTAAAGTTCATTCCGGCCCTTAGGCGGGAAGTAATTTGTATGAGTTTTTCCATCTCTAGGGAGGGAAGCAGCATTTTCCACCCAACAAACAGATCAAAACAACACCACTTTCCGAGAATGAGAAATGAAAACATATTTTTATATCTTAATGACGGGTTATTTTTTTAATTATTTTGATGTACTTATATTGTATATTACCTTTTAAAAATAAAATAATAGTAAATATTATTAAAAAAAATAACAGCGTGATTTTGGGATTTATTCTCGCGCCAGAATAACAAAGGGCAACATTCCACCTTTCGAAGTACTTCCACCATCCTGATACCTGAGCCCTTTCCTGTGATATTGAGTCAAGGGCAGCATGAAAAAGTCAACAATCGGCCAGGACTGTTGGTGACGTACAAATCGTCAGTCATTTGAATTCGATGCTACTGAGGGTTCACGTAACATCCCTTCTCAATTTTTTGACGCGCTCATATATATTTTTTTTCTACCTCTTCGTACGCGGTCATGCATGCCACATAGTGTAAACCAGCAGATTAATATTTCTCAGTCATCAGAAACGGTGGTTTAGTGGGTGCCAACGACTGCATTGTGAAGGCCTATCAAAAGTATTAGTATTTATTAATCTGGAACAACGGAACCAAAGCGCGATTCAGGAGACTACAGCGCCATCTCTTGACCGTTGGTATAGTAGAACCAAAAACCACATCTTTATTTTTTGTAATAAAGTAACAGTTATAGGTATTCATATTTATAATATTTATCCACATGTTTCTAGTTTGTATATTCGGAATACGTGTTAGAGTTTCATACAAGTGCAAATCACATATGTTCTAATAAATTATATTCAGTAGCGATTTTAATTGAATATTTTGATTATTTATTTATTTTTTCAAATTAAAACTGAATTTTACTGACTGTGTCCTTTTCCAGACTTTTTTTTAATTTATTGTAATTAATTATTTGCATGCAATTAAAAACTAATTTTAAACGATGCCAAAGAAGGATAACTTCTCACGCGCCTACATAAGTACACGCACCCATTTTTATTTTGGATTTTGCCGAATTTCGACGTATACTATTTGAAAATAATTCTTTAGAATTTGGCATACAAATTAGTAAAATTAAAAACTAGTTCCATAAGCTTTCCAAAAAGGTACAAAAATTTAATTATTAGCTGTTTTTATTAAAAACAGCAAAGGTGCGCTGTAGGGCAAACTTTTCATTTTGATTTGTAAATTGAATTCAGATGGAAACGTCAATAGTGATTCTCTACACTGTGAATGAATTTCAATGTTGTGTAGATAGTCTAGCCACTTTAGGGTTTCACCTCAACCTCACCTGAATTTGAGATAATAAGCAGGAAACTCGTGTACAGCTTCATTTTAGCGTTGTGAAAGTTGTCTCAAAAGTCTCATATTATCTCGTGTCTGCGTCGTAAGTTATTCGAGGTCAAACGTCACACAAATTGTTTTTTTTTTGCAACCCTTTCTATGGTTCCAATCACTTCAACACCTATTATAAAAACTTTGGATAAAAAAAAATGCCACAACTTTTGTCTCAACTTTTTTCTATACGCTCAACCCTTTTCGAGATAGAGGCCGGTGAGCACCCAGCGCTAAGGCATATATACTGTAATATACATACAGTTACTAAATCATTAAAATATGATCAACAATAAATAATTTGTATTATTTGTTAGTTAATACATTGTATTGAATACCTACCCGCATAACAGATTAGGGCAGATATTGCAGTCGCCAAATAATTTGATTTCTTTTCTAGTGCACCATTTGAAACAACTAGAAATCTTAATTCTTGTTGAAGGTGGACAATGACCCTCCTTGAGTCAATTGTGATAAGTGCAGTAATGATTTTCATTTTAGTCATATCAGTAGTGATTATGTTGTGTTATGGCCACCCTTTACATAATGAATTACGTTCTGTTTCTAATGTTTGTTTGTCTGTAGCGATACTGACCCTCGCCCCTCTCTGTCTGCGAATCTGCCACGCGTAAGTGGAACTCCATTGTCTTATTAATATATCACTGTTATAATTAATAAAGTGCTCCTATAAACGTTTGCCCTATTATATTCTAACCCCGCTCGACCGTGTTAATATGTTTTGGCCCCAGTCACAGGGTCTGCTGCGTTTTTTGAGTGGTCGTCAAGAGCGCGAGGTTATTCACGACACGCGGTCTGGAACACGTGGCTTGGTTAAACTTTTCCAAGAAACCAAGACTGAACGATGGTAGAAATAATTAATTCGGACAAGAAGTATCAATGTGAGAAACTGGTAGGCGTTCCCAATTATCAGAATTGGAAAATTTTCATGAGAATGTGTTTTATCCTGGAAGGTTTGTGGGAATTTACCCAAAATACACCTGACGCTGCAGCTGTTAGTGATTGCACATTGGAAATAAGGTTCTAGCAAGAATTTGCCTCGCTGTTAAAAATAACTGCTTGCAGTATGTCCGCACTGCTTCGAACGCAAAAGAGGCATTGGATAATTTGCCGAACATTTTTGAGGATCGTGGCTTTTACCGAAAGGTTATGTTGTTACGAAAGTTGCATCGTTTGCAATATAGCAATTATGCAAATATGAATGCTTATATTAAAGGCGTTAGTTATGTCGCTCGTTCACGAATTAGCCGACATTGGCCGTGCTATAGAAGGCAGAACTTCTACTTAGTGGATTACCGGCTGACTTTGAGTCAGTGAATCTCTGTGGTGGTTTAAGCAGTGAGCTTATTAGGACACGCCTGCTTCAAGAGGAACACAGGAGGATATCGTGTGATCTGGGTAGCGGGGATGCAGCACTTCTGTCATGCGAGCCATTGTTACTTGTCATTATTGTAAAAAGGATGGTTATGTAAAAAGTAAATGTTACAAAGTGAAAAGTGACTAAAAGAAACAAAAGGATAATAATGAAGTACTTGTAGCATTAAGCTGTAAAACTTGTTATAATGATGTCATCGACTCCGGTGCCACTGGCCATATGTGTAATCGGTTAGAATTGATGAACAATTTTTAGAATAACAACTTGGAGGTTGCTGTACCTAATAATGAAAGTTTGCGCTGTATAGGATATGGTGAAGCCTCTTTAAGGTAAAGAATGGCATTTTTACTATGACAGAAGCTATATTAGTACCTGGACTCTCTACCAATTTAGTTTCTGTTAGTAAATTTGTCTGTTAGGTTTAGTAATAAAAAATGCTTTGTTCTTCGTGGGGACCAAATTATCCTATCAGCTAGCAAAATTAAAGGTATATTTAAACTCGATCATTTGGGTGTAGTCTAACATAGTAGGGAAGTTAGGCATTCTGTTTTACAGGTGGAGCGTAATGTTTCTCCAGTGATGACAGGGCCTGTTGGGGTTCAACCTGTCTCTGCAGAGCTCTGCTCTGTAAGAACCTGTAAGAGCAACAGACGGAAAGTCAGGGACCCGAACTTGCGGGACGCCCAATCCCTGAGAAGCGGGCGGAAAGCATCTAGGGTTCTGAGTCTGTATGTGGTAGACTGCAACATCAGCTGCCATCTCCCCATCAGGTCTTCCTCCGCCTGACGACGGATCTGTGACGACCCAAGTCAGCTTATAGTTTTCTCATCAAATTACTTCACGCGCTTATCTACTTAGGTTAAGGATGTTCCGTCTTTTTTTATTTATATTGGAATCTGATTGTTGTTTGTTTAAAAGTGCGTCCGAATATAACATGTTATTTCGAGTTTCGTCACTATATCACGACCACATGTTCTAACATTGTTCATCCACACCTATAACATATTATACTTAACTTATACTTTGCTTATTTGATTGAAAATTGTTTTGTTCAACAAATAAAGTGGTTGGAAGTTTTGCAAAAAATCCCCGTTTAATTAAATATTATTTTTGTTTCAATAAATAAATTATTACTGTGTTTAAAACTTTGATTTAGTTATTATGCTGTGGAGGGCTTGTGAAGTTTTATATACATCGATATTAGAACCGTTTTTATTACAATCGTCATCGAAGCTTGAGTTTCTTAGCATTGAATTCAACCAAAATCTTGGTACCCTTTTCGGAAATGTCGTCCAAAGTCTGATTGAGCTCAATGGTAAGATTCTCCTGGTCCTCCTTGGTTTCTACCCGGCCAGCCGCTGCGTGCCCGAAATATTCCACATGCACTATACTGTCTCTGCATAGCAATGAATATT